TTATCACACCTTAACTGTTACAATTTTTTCCTCCCTTGTTTATTTAAATCTTGTGTGTTGTGACCTTTTGAGCGGCTTTCATGAGAAACCTTCGCACTCCCCGCTGGCGTTCTCACCCCCTTCACCCTTGTGCTGGGAATGTTGGTCAGTCTGCCATATTGTGACCCAGTCCACCTTCCATAAGTCTTATCACAGTCTCCCTGAAGGGCGAGAACGCCAGGGTGGAGTGCGGAGGGTTTTCACGAATGCCGCTCAAAAGGTCACACCACACTAGATTTAAATAAACAAGGGAGGAAAAAATTGTAACAGTGAAGGTGTGATAAGAGGATATAGGAAATGTGAATAGGCCAGGGCAGAAGAGAAGATACCACAACTGTTTAGCACACGTTTGGTCAAAGGATCGGCTTCACTTGTTTTTATGACAAGTTGTTGTGTGGTGCTAAAAATGGGGAGACTCACTGCCGGCGAGACGTCTGGGAATGTACCATGTCCGGCTTTGGAAATGATCATGCATACAATGGACTCCTGACTAGATGCGTTCCTCTGAGTCTTCCTACCAATATGACCAAGTAGCGAAAACAAGGTCAAACAACCTGTATACAACGAAAGGAGACTATGACAACACAAAAGGTCACACCATCTTGGTCTTCATACTATCGTATAAGTAGGTAGTTATGAGGCCGGCCACTTGTCTTGCTCTTGCGCTAGGTGATTAATGGTAAAGCATGGTGTCCTGCTCTGACGATGTCCGTCACATGACGGACGAAAGCTCAGCAAGAACTCTTAGGGTTCACAGTGCGGTGCGCCGATGACCTATTCGCACAAATCAATCTCATCTCCAGGGTAACCAACTAGAGCTTCAGATGAGACGAACTTACGAATCCCTCCCACTCGCCTCTTTGGAACTGAAATAAACTCCTTCTATATGAGAAGTATATTTCGAAACTGCAGTCACCCCACGACCAAAGAGCCTTAAGGATACAAGACTTAGTGAAACTCAACATAATTATAAGGCCTACTCATTTCATTTTTGAAAATTAAAATAGCAGTCATTGCATCACCTTAAACGGCCCAAGATGACCCAGACTCTTGTCTGATAACTTACTGATAACTTTAAAGATTACTTATATAAAATAAAATAATGTGGTCAATATGTTTGACTTTACGACAATTCAGCAGCAAATTTGAATTTAGCGAGACCTGGCTTGCCATTAAAGTCGCATTTACCTAGTGACGCATTGTCATCAATGGCTGAAGTTGACTGGTAATATTGCCGCTTGACGCAAACGATTTAGTTTAAAGTCTTGAGACTGCAGTCCACCCTGAATGAGATATGCTTTATTATTATAAAAAATGTCCCAAATAAAAATTCCTATTGGATGTAAAATTCTTAGGTGATAGTCGACTAGCGTTTCGAAATAATAGTATAAAGGCAGCTTTGGCTTACCAGTAAGATTTTTCATTATTAATTAGAAGACGTTCAACCATATCTTCAACCCGAATAAACCATGTTGGTACGGCCTTGTAGATGAGTGGAGTGTCCGAGCTGAAGTGAATAAAGGATGATATCAAGTAAGACCAAAAAGTCGGCAGTAAGGCTATGAGATATAAAAGCATTACGACAAAAAGTATCTGAAAACAAAGTAATGTAAAGGCTGCAAAAAGATAAATGCATTTTGCTGAGTAAAAAGAGGTTAGGTATCGCATAATCATGATCGCTTACCGCCAACAGAATGGATAACTATGGTTGATGGTTGCCTGAAGTATTAAGCGATTTTTTTTCTTCAAATGATTTATAATTGCCTTATCGGCATCCTTCACGTAGAGTCCTTGGAAGTCAGGAACCTCTGAAGTGAAACGCCCACTTGGGTCAATAGGGCATACCATAGGCATAGACTTAGAGATTACAGAATTGGCAAGACAAATCCGATAGTCATCCTAAATTTATAAATTAAGTAAACGCGTTGTATATAGTATAGTATAGCATAATATTGATTAGAGTAATAAAGCGTGGATAGCTAAAAAATGCTAAATACCTCGCCAAAGTAAGGAGCCTGATGAACAATGCCGGTACCAGTATCTTCAGTAACGTATGTGTCACAAAGAATACGAAATGCCCCGTGAGTAGATTTTAGCTAAAAACCATTATTCGAAAAATTATAGCTTAGAAAATTTGTTTACTGTGAAGAATAAAAATATTGTTAAAAACTTAATAAAAGGAATTTCGGTTATAACGTCTAGAAAAGGACTTTCCGTATCTGAGAGCTAGACATCTTATGTAAAGGATAAATAGATCTTAATTGTTCCAAACAAGATGAAGTGGCAATAGATAAGGTTGCTATATGTTTAGAAGTGATATGAGGCCAAATATTTAAATAGCCTGACACGTTCTTAGAAGCCTTTCTGAAAACACAGGCATTTCGAAAATATGAAAAAAAATGAATTATTGCTTAGGTGGTAATTGGCAATTAGTATTCCTATTTAGAATAAATAGTATCCAAAGTTTGTTTGACGATAAATTGGTTTCAGAGGGGTTATATTATCGTTTATAAAAAGATGTTCTATGGAACAAGGCTGTTTAAAATAGACAGACAAGAAGGCTTGTCGATCAGACATTTATACTAAATACTTTAATAGCGTCATGTAAATAAATGGTTGATCCCAACGCTAAGTGTGGTTTTGATGTTCGAAGTAATAAGACTAGCTGTTAAGATAAAGTGGAAAGTGTTATATCTCGTTGAAAATCAGCGAAAGTTAATACTAAGTTGTTGAGGTATAAACTTCCGAAAGGTGAATACTACATATAGACATATAGATAGATATTTACAAACAGAAGCAGGCAGATGCCATTTTCAGGATATAAAGTTATAGCAGGATCTGACTAAGGGAGATAAAATATATAAATCTCATAGTAGGCGAGGCAGACACAAATTTTACAATTAGGTAAGCTTATTATACAAATTCTAAGAACTCCAATATCTAATTTGATATTTCTGAGTTACATTATTTTTCATAAGAACATCAAGCCCAAGCATACCATTCCGCAAAACAAAATTGCTGAAAATAAGGATATGTATTAGCCCTAATGTAACCAACAGTAGAAGATTCGAACAAAAAAACAGAAAGCAATATAAGAGCCTGCATATGTATGACGGACGTTATTAGAGCAGAGTAACATACTTATAACCATATTTAAGCTAACGAGTCAAGAAAACTCGCCGGCTTAACCCCAAATGCTGTACATTTACCCTATATCTAGGCTATTTAATGAGATATAAAGTGAGTTGGTTGAGTTATGTCAACCCCCGAGTATGTGCATATATCCGTCTGTCTGTGTTTATATGCCTCCGTGTGTTCGTATAAGTACGTAACCAGCAATGATGGCTAAAAGAAATTAAAACAGAAACCGAATGTCTCGTTTAGGCTATCAGGGCTTAATGAGCACTATAATCCCTCTTTTTCTTTATATTTTAATCATCAATCCGATTGCACAAACTCGGACAAACATCTGGTGAAGTTGAAGAGTTTCTAGCCTTGATGTGAAAAGAGAAAATAAACTAAAATGTATAGAACTACCGTAATTATAAGCTAAACAAGTAGTAGTTAGGTCACCTATTTTCAGGCGTCCGGACCCCTTTATCTATAAGTCTGTCAATTAAGCATAAATAGTTCATTGTTAACTTCTTCCCAGAATTAATTACATTCAACATATTGCCCGGTCATTTGAGTTCGATAGCATCTATAATTTTGTGCCTAGATGCATACATACGATAATCAGCAAAATGAAAAATCTGAGACTAATCAGACTCATGTCCAGTTTCTGCCGTGTGCTCTGCTAGTTCCAAACAGTCCCTTTTGTGTTCAGCCGCTCTTTGTCAAGTGGAACGACAAGTCTTTCCTAGCATAAAAGCAACTATATAAACCTGATCTGGATAAAAGGTCAACTTTTTATTTAAATGTGGACATAAACCAATAGTCATAGTTTCCCTGAAAATTTATAATTCCCTACGTCCTTACTAGCTTGCCTATCTTTTTAGAAAGCACACGAATGCAAAGTCAAAAAATGAGAATAAATCCCCGGTTTTTTATCTCTACTTACGTATTGATCATTCACAAAGGGAGTAGTTTTTAATATAAAGTTTTTTTCAATTAGGCCAATCTTAGCTACCAACACCATGCAGCTATATTGCAAAATATACATGTGTACATCTAACTAGCCATTTTCGTGTCTTATCTCATCCATGAAGCTTTCATCCATTTTTTATATGTAATAATTCCCTAAAATGGAAGCCAAGCTAGATTCCATCGCCAGGCCTTGCAACTGTTAATAAAACTTATTGTTTAAGGCGAGGAATGT